AAGAATGTTAGTAACTAAAACTTGTAAATACAGTTACTGCCATCATTACTAGCCAAAACTGATACAGAGAAGTTATCCCAGGTCTATAGCTTGTCACATGATTAGATTCATTACAGTCTATGATGATCTAGGAGTGTCAGTGACGGACCTAGCATTAATAGCATAAAGTTTATACGTATATAAAGATATGTTTAAAAGACACAGACTGCAGTGATGAATTACAAGATTTTATTTTAATAATTTTCCTTAGTCAGTTCAGACATGCAACCTATGAGTGAGATGACATTGTTTCCAGTTTCCTATAGCTTTATTTTTGGTTGCTTCAAGTAAATAAAGAGGTCCAGCACTTTGAACTAGTCTTTTGATTATGGATATAAAAAATGACAACAATCACAATGCAGATGTATTATGAACTTTTATATTCTGGCCTCGTTTTTACTTATGATCAGCTCAGCATGAAAGTATATATAGTTGCAGCTAAATTTTAACAGTCTAGGTTGACATCCAATGAGGGCAAAGGAATACACCTCATATACAAGGAGAAGAATTTATTAGTAGTCTGTTGAAATCTTAAGAGCCTAATTATGTATATGTATGTATATAGTTTGCTTAGATCCAATTATGACAGAAAAAGAAGGAAAATAAAGAAACACAACTACAGAAATAAAATCTCGGTAAAATTAAAACCACTGTACACAAGCTTCCTAGTATCTATTATTTTCCTTTTTGGTGCTCACTCTCACAATATTCTTTTAAGTACTTAGATTGACACTTGAGCCTTCAGGAAGAAGTGATGAGTTTTAATGGATCACCAGTACATTGAGTCCTTCTCAGAGAGGAGTGCAGTTGTGATGGTGAGGTCTTCCTCCTTACGATACAATTTGTCTGGGACTATTTTAATATAATTTCTAATACACTGCACCTCTTCCTCACTCTTCAGTGGTTTGCAATTCCACCTAGCATGTACATATGGCTGATGTCACTACTATTGAGTTGTTCACTGTCCTGAGGCCTGTGGTATTATCCCATGCCCCTGCTTTGAAGGTCCTTGGAGTCATCATACAACTGCATTCTCCAAGTTTATCCTAATATTGTATCTTCACAACAGTAAAAAACTAAACAAGAACTAAAAGAAATAATGTAATATTCAGCTGCTCATTGTGGAACTAGTTGTTGCAACTAAATAGGCTAGAGAAAAGCTCCAGGAAAGCCAAAACCAGCCTAATGTCAAGCAAAAAAAGACTGACAAATCCTAATCTTGAAGCCTTGAGGAGTTACCACAAAGCTTATTACCATAAAAGCAATTCTGCCTTTGCTAGATTGCAGATTGCAATGCATTGCCTCTATAGACCTTAAAGAGTTTGTTACCAGTTCTACTTATGAGGAAAAATGTACATGACCTCAAATATCTGTGTCTAATGTGTGTAATCATAAACAAATACCAGTGTCCTCTTGAAGTGCTAAGGCTTGGACAATAGGCCCAAGACACAGCTGACCTATAGATGAATCTTGTCTATTTCATAACTGGTAACCATTGTGCTAACAGGTATTATACTAAGTTATAACAAACCACCTATCCTGATGTAAAGGGTGGAAATGTTGAAGCCTGAGCAACAGGCCCTGAACCAAAACTGTTAACACGTAACATAATCCTTAACGAAATACGTATGGAGGCAGGTGTCTGTCTACGAGATCTGATGTGAGACCTTGCACAGAATCCCATCAGATAAGCAGAGAAACTCCTTTGGCTTCTTCCTTGAGCCCTGGCCAGGCTCTGGGGCAACCTGATGTGAGACTGAAACCAGGTATTTCCGTTCAAAACAAAGGTGCCAGCTATTCTGGCCTGTCCATCTCTGGTATATAAGGCTGGACCCGCTCACAGGGACTTTGGCAGCCTCACCTGTGGGCGGAGGCACCGCGTAGGATTTCCCCCTTGCCGGGACAGGCTCTCCAAACCCTCGCTGTAACCGGGGCTGCCCAGCCACTGCGGGTCTGGGTGATGGGAACGTATGCAAGTGGTGATGGAGCTTTCTTAATCGCTGTTCTCTCTCTCTCATGTAGTAATGATTTGATGCATTCCCTTGTATTTTCCTATTTGTTTAAGAGCACTATTCTGTCTTTTCTTACTGTATGTTTTCTGTGTTATTTTGTTATATTATTTAGTTATTTCTAGTAAAATAAGCCTGCTCTTTTCACTCTGCTGTCTGAGTTTAATTAGTATCCCTGATCAGCAAAACACCTCTGCAGGTATTATTCTAAATTTTAAGATAAACAAATTCCAGCAACACTTTGTGTCACCACTGCTTAGATATCAGAAGCATTAAATCTGCAACTTGATATAACTGAAAATAGAGTCCAACACTGCAACAGAAGTACTGCTCATCTAGATGTAAATTCACTCTAAAACCCTTGTTAAAGAAGACATTCTTGTTCAGATTGTCTGATCATTGTGTCCATCTGAATTTTTACAAAACGAGAGTAACAAATGTTTTGGGAAAAAAACAATCCAGAAACATGCTACTGTGGTGAAATATCTCAGGTGATCTTCTGTTTAGACCATTTCCATGTTCATACTTTCACTTCTCAAACAACTAATTATTTTGGATTAATTTAATTGTAAAATATGTCTTCTCTTTGTTTTGTAAAAATTAATATCCTTTCCACTGATGTCAGAAGTAGACTGCTGCTTTGACTGGTACAAATCCTGTCACAAGTACATCATAAAAAAAAAACCTCACCCAGTAATAGGGTAGCATAACTTAGCATGGAATTAGGTAATTTTATTATTGTAAGGAGTTCTATTTATTATTTTGCATTCAGTCATCTTTGTTAATTCTTCCTTATATTTCCATTTCAGTATAGAATGATTTGATGCAGTTCCTTTAAAATCTGCAGATCTTTATGATATGTTTTGGGCTCTATAAGATATGTGGAGACAATTAATAGAGTTTTAATGGGACTAAAAAATAAATCAAGCTGAGGAGAGACTAGAGACGAGACTAGTTTACTGGAGTATATTTACAGGAGTATACAGCAAAATTTTAAACATTTGACTTAGTTGTCTATATTAGGATGATGGACTCCCTACACACCCTACATAGAACAATGGAAATTTCAGACCATTAGCTTGTGATTCAGAATATTTGTGAGGCCTCTGAGTAACCTGTGAATTTTACTTTCTTCCTAAACTCCCATCACAAAAAAAACCCCAAACCACTGAACTGTCATTAAATTGAGATTTTGAAAGTGGAGACATAGGCCTTAGCTTTTTGTTATATTTGAGAAGGAAAAATTGGGCTTTTGTCTTTCACAATTAAATTTGCTGGGTGTGGTGTAGGATTTATAAATTTCACTTTTTCTTTAGCTTTTTTGTTTTAATCTTTACTGTAATATCATTAATATTGTCAATTAATATATCCTTTCTATATCTGCTAAATAATATAAAAAATGAATTATATCCACTCCCTTTTATTTTAATAAGAATTTAGAAAATTAACCAAAAAAATAGATTTGTTTTATATGACCAATAAAATTAGCAAATATTTTAAAAATACTTTTTAATAACTCATCATATATTCTATTACATGTAAAATTAAAGCAAAGTTAATTATGTAAGTAAAGTCCACATAGCATGTTTTGAGGCTTGTTTATCTATCTAGAGCTGCATAAATTATGAGACTGTTGCCAGGACAGTGTGTAAACATCTTCTCTTCATTTGGAAGCAGGTCAGAATTTCTAATGAGCACACTAATTATGCACACGCTTAGAAACAAATCTTAACATGTCAAAAAAAAACCCCAAACAAAACAAAACTCTGAAAACCAAGACTGAGATTTTAACATCATTAGTGAGTCTATTTTGAAATTGCTAATGCAGTTAATGAAAGTAATCATTACAAATAAATAGCAAAGAATTTAATTCCTGAAAAGAACCAAAACAACCCAAAACAAATCCTTGTTCCCTGATTGGTGAATTTGGAGAGAGTAAGAGAGGAGAGAGATAGCAAGAGTGCATATTTTGGTTGTGTGAGAGAGAGATCAGGAAAAGAAAGAAAAAGTGCTGGAGTTAAAGAGTGAGTAAAGAAGTAGGAAGAAATAAGTGTAGAACAAGTCCCAGTTATGTAATATTTGCATCAAACATGTTTTATTCAAAGGCAAATGGTAAAACCAAAAACCTCTCTAGGATCTGAGGTGAGTATTAACAAATGTAGTTTTGACAGCTTTGAAGTTATTAGCTAGGAAACAAGGATATCATAGCGTGAGTCAAAGATATACTTAAGAGCTGAAGTGAATAAAAAAAAGAAAATTAAGCCAAGGATGTTTAATCACCTTTAACTGAAACTTATTTGAATATAAAGTAGAAAAAGTGTAAAATTATTCATCTCATTAAGGAATGGTATCTATAGAATTTAAATTATGCTTTTGAAACAGTAATTTTCATTCTCTTTCATTGTTTTCAAGGAGCAATAAAACATCTTCAGAAATAAAACAATCTAAATCTTGTTCTATTATGTTCTTCTCTAGACTTTCTGGGAAATGTTTGAAAATATGTAATGAATCTGGCAAATGCAAATAATTAAATCAAGAGAAAACCAGAAAGTATACTTTGACTCCTGAAAAACTCAAAGTACTCATTTGACAGAAATGAGCTGTAAGTATTTCATGTACAAGAGCATCCCCCAGGGAACGCAAGGAACCAGAGGCGCGGTGAACAGGGCAGGCAAACAGGGCCTCGCGTGGCAGAAGGGCGAGGCACCGCAGTTTGCGAGGCAGTGCAAGCGGAGAGGACGCAGTCCCTCAGCTGGGTCTAGCGCTTATCTTAGCTAGTTACATCTTATCATCCTCCACGAGTAGACTGAACCATGATCACCACTCGGGTCAGAAACACCATCAGGAAGAATGTGGTGACCCACACAGAGCTGCCACAAACACTCAGCGGTGCAGGTCCTGGGCTGCAGGGAGTGCCTGAGCCTGTCGGTCCTGCCGGAGGGCAGCAGGGACAGCACCTGTGTGACTGCCATCAGCTGGGTGACCTGCTCAGCCTGGTGGTGGAACTCAGCGAAAAGGTTGAGAAAGGAAAAAATATTAGGGAGTGTGAAAGGAAAATTGATTGGTGGAGTAACAGCCTAGCACCCCTACAGAAACAGGAGCGAATGGAGGCTCCAAAACAGGCAGACGATCTCTCACTCTCTTGCTACCAGGCAGAAGGAGGGGACCTAAGAGATGGTGGAGTCTGGAAACAGGTCCCTGCTCAGGGAGGAAGGAAAATCCTCTCCTGACCTCCCTCACCGTCCATGGTGCCCCTTCAGAATAGATATGGTGCCCTGGAACTTTTGAGTGAAGTAGAGAAGAACAAAGGAAATGAGTCAAACAAGGAGGAAGATCAAGGTCCACCAAGGCTGGGTCACTCTAGACCACATAACAAAATCAGTTCTCAAAAGAACCCCAGAAGGGTCATTGTAGTTGGGGACTCCATCTTGAGGGGTGTCGAAGGCCCCAAATGCAGACCAGACCCACTTCACAGGGAAGTCTGCTGCCTCCCTGGGGTTCACGTCAAGGACCTCACAGCTAAACTCCCTGCTCTAGTGAGACCCAAGGACTACGACCCTCTCTTGGTTTTTCAGGTAGGTAGTGATGACATTACCAGGAGAAGTCCTAAATCAATGAAGAGACATTTCAGGTCCTTGAGGAGACTAAGGGGTCAGGAGCACAAATTGTGTTCTCCTCCATCCCTTCAGTTACAAGGATAGATGAAGAAGATTACAGGAAAACTCAACAGATGAACTTGTGACTCCAAGGTTAGTGTTACCGTCTGGGCTTTGGATTTTTCAACCATAGGTTAGTATACAGGACACCAGAACTTTTGGCATTAGTGGGATCTTTCTGGGCATCTTTCTGGGATGCACCTGTCCCAGAGGGGGAAATGGATCTTGGGGCAGGAGTTAGCTGGGCTAATTGGAAGAGCTCTAAACTGGATTTGAAGAGAGAAGGGGGCAAAACAGCCTGATATACCAGAGATCGACAAGCCAGAATAGCTGGCACCTGTTTTGAGAGGAAATAATCTGTTTTCAATCTCATATTAGGTTCCCCCCAGAGCCTGGCCAGGGCTCAAGGGAGAAGCTAAGGGAGTTTCCCTGATAGTCTAGCTGATTTTTGAGCAAGGTCACACATCAGATCGCAAAGCCAGACAACTGTCTCTGTGGCCCTGTTATCTTGCCCACACACAAAGAAAGATAAGGATATATTCAAGATAGACATGTTTTATGATATTTAAGCTACATCATTTATGCATATTTCACCAATGATTACATACTGAGTTAGCGGTTTCAGTTCAGGGCCTGTTGCTCAGGCTCCAACATTTCCATCCTTTACATCAGCATAGGTGGTTTGTTATAACTTAGTACAATACCTACTAGCACAATGGTTATCAGTTATGAAATATACAGGATACATCTATAGGTCAGCTCTGTCTTGGGCCTCTTGTTCAAGCCTTAGCACTTCACTTCTATGATTTTTGCCACTCCTACAAAGGCCCCAAAGTTGCTCTACAGTTAATAATGGTATTTCTAAGATTTCTTTTACTCTTTAAAAAAAAAATATATTTATTTTTTAAAAAACCCTCTTTGGTCAGATTATAATCAACAATCAGATTGAAAAGCAGTTGTGTAATACCAAAACATTTTTAACCTCTATTATAAACCATATATTTACAAAAAAATTATAAATACCAACATTTCTATCTGAAGAAAATTAGAATCATTCATGTATAATACTGGAAACAGTTCAATATGAAAAGTATCTTCCCGGACTTGTGCAAAGCTTTTGACACTCTAAATTGGAGAGACATGGATTTGATGGATGGACTCCTCAGCAGATAAGGAATTGACAGGATGTTTGCACTCAAAGAGTTATGGTCAATGGCTTGATGTCCAAGTGGAGAGCAGTGATGAGTGGCTTTCCTTAGGGGTCGGTGTTGGAACCAGTGCTGAAAATCAGATTTGCTTTGCTTTGTTTGTTTGTTTTTTTGTTGATTTTTTTTGCTCAAGCAGGTCCAGAGGACAGCTATGAAGCTGATCAGAGATCTAGAGCACCTCACCTATGAGGAGGACAGGATGAGAGAGTTGGAGTTGTTCAGCCTAGAGAGGAGAAGGCTCTGGGGAGACCTTATAGCAGCCTTCCAGTACTAAAAGGTGGCCTACAGGGAAGAAGTGGAGGGACACTTTCTCAGGGAGTGTAGGCATAGGATGAGGGGTAATGATTTTAAACTGACAGAGGATAGATTTAGATTATATATAAGGAAGAAATTCTTTATATATAGCAAAGTGCCACATGGCCAAAACCAAAATCAGGCAGACATTCAGAAAACATTGTGCCACAATCACACTGGCCTGCAGGCTCCAAGGATAATTGAAACTCCCAAAACCCAAGAGGATCTCTTCCCCTGGCTCACCCACAGAGGGGGTGAGACCCCTAACAAAAGCCCAGGCAGCAAACAGGTTGTATTATTTTTTTCCTTATCTCAACTCCGGGGTTTGTATCTCACTCCCTGCCCCGTACGGTCCGAGGGTGGGGGAGAGACAACGGCGGCTTGGTCTCGGGTCCTGGCAGGGCCTAAAGCACCACAGAGAAGAGCTGAATTCCTCTCTGAAAAATACCCGGTTTTCTTAATTTTCAATCTTGTAGGCAGTTAGGTCAGGGCATATTAATTTCCCCTTCCTGTTTTAACTCTTCAGTTATAAAATGAGATAACCATCAAGATCTGGAGAATCAGGAATATCAAAGGAAACAGAAGAATATGGACTACTGAAGTCTGAGATTCTGTCATGAACACAAGAGAATGTCAAGTTGAGTAAAAAGTTAAATTTTTCAAACTTAAAAGATGTTAGATCTATTTTGATCTAATAATATGACCATACATAGCTTGTAAGAACCTTCAGTAATTGAAGCCTTATCAAGTTTTTATTAATAAATTAATAAATTTATTATTTTCTAACTCTTGATAGACATTGTTTTCCTTTGTATTTCTGTTCAGCAGTTAACATATTAAGTGGGATTCATCTCACTCAGCTTCAGCATCTCATAACTAACCTAGGTTGTTATTTCTGTTTCTTTGTAGTCAATGTAGAGATAGGCTTCTCTCTGACAGTAAGTTATTCCACGGGGTGGATCACCCTTTCTCACTCACTGTTGAGTTAGTTGGTAGAGAAGCTTAAGAATTATTAAAAAGTCACAAAGGAGAGACTATTAGCTAGCTTTGAGTGGCTCTGTATATTATTTAGATTGTGTTGGGTCCCATTCTGAGATGATTCATTTCACATTTGGATCACATATGAATTCTATATTTGCAACTGTAGGCTTTCAATTCTGCTGAGGGGGGATAGGCAGCTAAAGCTGGGTGTTACAAGGTCATTCTTTTAAGGCACTTCATTTGCTAGATTTTGTTGGAGACTCATGGTGCTAAATACAATTAATCTTATATGCACAAAGATGGTTTCTAAAATATCTTGAAATTGGTGTATGTCTAACTTCATGCTTCATGTGTGATGTGAGAGATATTTCTATCCTTAATGTGAGCTAAATTACATAAATAATCTATGGCTTTGTCAAGAGTGAGCTATGTGACCATGTTCAACTTTCATGAATAAATAATTATATAACATTACAACAAAACTTACCTAATTTGTATTACAAGCCCACTAGAAACTATATTGCTATTGCTATTATTGTAAATCTCTTAACACCTGCTCGTTCTTATGAAACCTTAACATTAATACAGAAGTTCTTTAGGCTTGTGTACTGCCACATGTCTTGCAAGAGAATTATGTATCAGGAAAACTTCTTTTCTTCTTGAGAAATGCTGACCAAGAATTTCAACATCAAGGGTTTTTTCAGCCCCTTGAGCATTCACACTTGACAATCAAGACTATTAGCTGGTAGTAGCTTATTATTTTCCTTCATGATCCTCCAGAGACTCCTCTGTTGTTGCAGTATCTTGAAAACACTTGCTAACAGACAATTGGTGTCCTATGGTTTCTGGGTCCTATGATTGCAAGGTATGGATTAATAACTCTTTCAGGGTTTGCTTACTTTTTTTTTTTTTTTTTTTTTTTTTTTTTAAATCCACTCAGTTGTTGTCTCATAAATTTTACTTACACATTGTGTTTGGGTCTTTTTGTTTTCTCTCTGCATGGCATCAAATACTGTGGAGATCCAGAGGGAGGGTATTTCTTTGGCTTGGCCTTTGAGGAGGTTAAACATGCAAGAAAAAAAAAAAAAGGTAATAAACTCAACAAGAAGGTTTATGGTCAGATGGACTAGGTCTACCATATAGGAAACTGATGACTTCATTATATCCTGGTTTGAGTTCTAATAGCACTGTCAGCTTAGTGAAGAAAAAAAGCTTTATTTTGATAATTCTACGATGAAAAATCATGCTATTTTATCTTTCTTCTTTTTTTCTTTTTTTTTTTTTTTTTTTTAATGGAGATTTATCTTAGAAATATCTTCTATTTATCAGCTTCCGAGTCTCTGTCTTCAGTTCTTTCATTAGAAGTTTCAGTATTTCTTTCCTGTGTTTAAAACTGTGATGCAGGTTTTTTCTGTCTGCTAAGCATTAATCATAGGCACAGTGTGCATATCTCATTACTGTTCTTTCCAATGGAAAATATAAATGGTATTAAGTTCTTTAACTGGATCTGAAATGTTTCCATGACATTTAGAAGTTATGTGTTTGATAAATGCATCTAATAGAAAAAGAGCCACAAGCCAGATGATACATGATGTATGAATTTAGAGTTCTTATAAGTTTCTCATCCTACAGAGTAATTAGGAAAGAATAAACAAGGTGAGTGATGAATGGTATCAGAAAGATCTACTCAGTCATGAGGAATACTTATCTGTCTTTATTAACTGATGAAGAGTTGTCACATTAAAATTTAGCATTGCGTTATTTTAATTTGAAATAAGCCTGTGCTGCCATTAAATGCAGTGGTCCTCCTCTCTAGCCTCTTCTCTCCTGCTGTGTGAGGGTGGAGAAGATAGTCTTTAGCAGATAAATTTCCAGTTTCCATTCACCACATGACTGAACAAAAAATAATGAGGACAAAAAGATACTGCAAGAACAAACAGTAGAGGAAAAGGTGGCCTTGCCGTTTATGAAATTAACAAAGACTTGCTGAATTAAAGTGTTATTGTGTGTAGGTGCCAAAGCAAGGTGCTCCAGGGGTGGCTTCTGTGAGGAGAGATCGGGACTGCCCCATGCTGGCCACAGCTCGTTCCAGCCACCACAAACAGACCTACTGCAGGACATAGCTGAGGCCCTCAGCCAAGATGATGGCACCTTGGGAAAAACATGTTTAAGAAAGGGTAAACATGCCATGGAAAGAGAGGAGGGTGGAACAAAAAGAGTAAGAAAGACCAGATGGAAGACTAAAGCCTGGAGAGAAGGAGGAGCTCCGTGGTGGAGCAGATATTCCCTGATGCCTATGGAAGCCCAGACAACCCTGTAGAACAGTGCAAGGAAGGAGCAGCAGAGAGGTGTTATGAACTGACCACAACCCCAATCTCACATACTCCCTTGTGCCACTCTAGGGTAGAAGAGGTAGAGGAGATGGGGATGAAGGTGTGAAGTTGAGCCTGGGGATAGGGAGAGGAAAGGTATTGGTTTAATGTTTGTCCTTTTGTTTCTTGCTACCCAAGTCTTGCTAAATTAGCAATCAATTATTTTCCCTATGCTCAGTCTCTTGCCCATGATGGTGATTGGTAAGTGATCTCCCTGACTTTATCTAAAGCCATGAATTTTCTTGTTTCTGTTTTTTTCCTATTTTGTGCCCTGTTCCCACTGGGGAGGTGAAGGGAGTGAGCACCTGGGTGGAATTGTGTTTATTGCCCACATACAGTAAATTATAATCACAAGTTTAGATAAAACATAGATTTAATGAGTCAAATTTTTCAAAGGGCTTATTTATCAAATATATTTTCTGTATAGCATTTTGCTGCATATCTTTCTTTTCTTCTTGTCAGTCTTCTGTATTTGAATAATATTAAAGATATAGATTTGTAGGATGGGACTTTAAAATTTAACTTGTATGATTGGTGAAGCTTAACATTTTGACTACAAGAAGGAATCATGATTATAAAGACAAATAAGTTTTATGCTGTTTATCCTTCAATGAAAAAGGATTTTTAGATTAATTTTACTGCAATTAAAAAAAAAAAAAAATTCTCTTGTAGATTACAGCATCACAGATCTAGAAAAGCTGTACTAAAATTAATGTAATATTTCATTTTTTCACTAAGAAAACTTCTGTTAACTTCAATTGTGAGCACAGGAGGAAAAAAAAAAGAGTCTCAAAATTTTACTTTTCATGTGCAAAATATGTTTTTAAATAGCTTGCATAATTGGGTTGTGTGTCCCCTTGTTATTCTATAGCTATATAGAAACAGTTAAATTCAGAACACAGGAATGTATCTTTTGCGTGCATACTGGTTGTGGATGAGTCTGCATGGCTTTCCATTGGTACCGAAACTACAATATCTTCCCGAAGCTCGAGCAACAATATCCTTGGCAGTGCCTACCAAGCTGCACTGTGCATGAGCTGGGTGGAGAGGAAATCAGGGTGAGGAAGATGTGTGGAGGCTGAAGAAGCCGGAGGTTGACACCCCGCTGGCACGACCACTGTCAACACCTGGGCATGCGCTCATGGAGGAACACGGGGCAGCACGTATGACAATGAGCTCCGTGGAAATGGGCAGACTCTTCAGAGCAATCATGAGGACGAGGGCAATAAAAGCCTGCGTACTCCTCTCTAGGAAATCTTGATCTAAATCTTGATCTTCTTGACCTTTATCTTGAAATCATCACTCAGAGCTGGGACTTTGGCATAGCTTGGGGCTTGGAGCAACCATCACCTGCACTGAAACCAAGCCAATGGGACATTGCTGGATTCGTGGTGGTGGTAACTGATCTTGCTGCATCTCTACCATTTGCTTGCTTAGGGATTCTGACTTTTCCTTTCTTCTCTCTGTCCTATCACTATTATCAATTGTTATGGGAAATAAAGTTAACAAGGTTGTACGGCATCTGACATAATTTGTGTTTTAATTTCAATCTTGGGATCATTTAAGAATCCACCCTGATATTGGATCAGGACTGTACTAGGCTGTCAGGAGTCCTATTTTAGAAATAGTTCTGGTAGCAGAATTGAAAAAACAAAACCTTTGAGTTATAGTGGAAGTTCCATTGCATCTTAAATGCATCTCTGGTCACCTCAAAGTCACAATGCACATATTTGGTACAAATACAGCCTATGGCATAACATGATATGAAGTCAAATATCCCAGATGATGTCTTCTGGCCTTTTTCATTACTCAGGTGCTCTCAGGATGCCACTGCTGGTATTTGTATTCACCAGTGCAAATAAAATTCCCGATGGTGGAATTTTTATTGTAAAGTATGGTATTTTGTCAATAAAAAATAGGGTAATGTTAAGACATATATTGCTGTTTGTAATGTTAGTGACTTTTACCATGGGTTTCTGAATGCCTCCAGTAACTATTTGATGAATCTGTCCCCAAAGGAAAGAGTGAAGTATTGCTGAATTATTACTGTCAAAACTAACAGGGGCTTTATATTACAGTGACAGTTTGTGCCATTAAAAAAAAAAAAAAAGTTCACCTGGCAGAGAAAATAATATAAACCCAACCCAACCCAAAACCACAGTTCTTATACAAGTATTGATACAGAGAAATGATTACTTGTTTTGAGATTTACTTATTTACTTATAGAAAACTGCTTAGCAATTTATTTGCTTACTTATAATAAGTTATTATATTAGTTATAGTATTTAAAAAAAAATATTACTAAGAATCCTGCTTGCCCAGACTGTTCTGTGGAATTTTACCAAGGACTACTGTGTTCATCAAAACAAAGCAGTTCACTGTAAAAATCTACCAAGAGCTACAAAGTTCAGCAAAATATACTTTTGTCCTTGAGGAACAGGTGGCTCTAACTAGTTGGAATTTTGCTAATGAGTAAAGATAGCCATATACGAATGGTAGGAGTTCTATCGATTCTCTTAGATAAGATAGAAAGTAAACCATCTGAAAAACACTCTTGCTAATAAAGATATTGGCCAAGAAAATCTGCACATGCTCTGGGTAAAAAACAAGGTGAGAAAGACTACAAGCCTTCCTCCCAAAGACCCCCGAAGACGCTCACCAGGAGGCAATGCACAGTTGCAAAGAGAACATACACTGCTGACATCAGCCTTTCTAACTAACCCAGCCTTACTCATGCATATGTATGTTTGTGTTATGTAATTCAAGGAATGTGGATGTCCACACTCTATATATTTTTTTTTTTTTTTTTTTTTTTTGGCAAAATATGCAGTGGGTGTTGAAGCTTTGTGGAGAAATCCCCGGCACTGAAGTGAACATACCTGCTTTATAATTCTGTTCAAGTTGTGGAGTCTTTTTTCGGAGAATCAGTATTTTTCTCTGTTTTCCTTTAAATCTTCCCTTTAGTCATTTGCATCTCAAATATTATATTGGACTTTATTAAATTTATTTTTTCTATTTTCAAAATATTTTTTCTTTCCTGAACCACCTTTGTAGAGATTACTTACTCACTCTAACAGTTTTTCTAATAAGGCATTAAAACTTTACAGGACTGAAGCTAATGGGATGCATGTTGACCATTAATGGCAGCTGTTGAAAAGACTCCTCTATATGACAATAAATTAAGAATAATTCACAACTGAGAAATTAATTTAAAAATACAAGCTGGGTCACCAAGTGCCAAGTCCTGCAGCTGGGTCACAACAACCCCATTCAATGCTACAGGCTTGGGGAAGAGTGGCTAAAAAATAACTATTGAAAGGAGTGTGAAACTCCTAAAAAATTGTGTTAATTTCTGTTACAAAATCATGAAATAGAAAAAAGTATATAAATTCTGAAGAACTTCTGAGCAAGAGAGGTATTTACATGGCAGATTTGATTCTCTTTTTCCTATTTTAAAGAAGAAACCTATGAAACTAGTACTGATAGAAATGCTCAAATGCTAAAGAATATGTAGGGCTGAATAATTCAACATTGTGTCCAAATATGAATGAAAAAAAAAAAATGCATTTACAAGGCTCTGGAAACATGTATAGATTTCTCTTTTAAAACTCCTATTTTTTTAAAAAAATTTGAACCTCATTAAGAGAAACAGTGTTATGGGATTGGGGTTTTGGTGGTTTTCTTTGATGAAAGTTCTGAAAGGAAATAAATGTTTCAGCAGCTCTACTTATGAGGTATGAATTTTGTATGAATATTGTAACTCTCAACTGATTTAGACTACGAATAATCTAATGCAATAACCTGTCAACACTAACCTTCATAGATTCATTGTGTATATGTATGTGTTGTCTTCTGTTTTGTTTTTTTCCTGTTCAAGCATTGCCATGTGTCCTAAGGCTACCCCCAACACATGCAAGATATATCCTTGCTTTCGTTCTATGAAAACACTGTTCTGATCAATTGCCAAACAATCCTCACATTATTTTAGACACACTGCACAGAGAAACAACAGAAACTAATACATATAAGAAATATTTGTATTTTTGATACAAAGGCACATAACTACAACCTGATGCTAGATGGATGTGCCCTTAGACATAAGTGGAAAGGTCCTTGTTTATCTCTGGCTTTTAAGAAGATCTTTGGATGAATAACTGTGCAGGTTTAAGCCCTGCCAGAATCAGAGAGCACGTGGCCGTTGCCCCTCCCCCACCCGTGCCGGTCGGGCTGGAAGTTAAACACAGACCCCGGCTGAAATAACAAGAAATTTAATACAACAGAGTGATAAAACAATCTGAATAACAACAGTATCAATGGTAACAACAACAAACAGCAATAACAGTGAACAAGACAAACGATATACAGAGAAATACCGCTAGCTGGTTTGCGGAAAGCCAAATTCCCTCCCGAACCCACCAAGGAGCAAGGAAAAGGTTCCGCCCCCGGACCTGACGTCAGCATGGTATGAATAACCCGGCTGGAGATCCCTTCCCCCTCTCTCTCTGCTGGGGAAAACCTTACTCTATCCTGGCTGAACCAAGACAATAACTCTGGTGAAGAAAACTAAATTGTTAAAGCCTACATGAGCGAAGATAGAATCTTAGATATTGATAGAGAATTTAGACAGGTAAACAAGTTAAGGATTTGTGGGCTGAATTGAAACAAAAGGCTACCTTCAGAGGAAGGTCACTGTAGACAGAAAAACATCAAATGAAGAAGCAAAATAATGAAACGGAAGATGATAATTTGTTACAAAAGCCATGAACAAATGCAGAAATCTTAAATTTTGTAAAACTTCAGAGGACACATGAGAACAATCACATGTATAGCACTACAATACAACAAATGTAGTGTTTTCATAGTTGTTAGCCTACCACAGTTCTTTACTAATTTAGCAAAAAAAGGGCTAATGGGTTTTCAGGCCTTTATGGATGTGCTGGGTCATGACTTTGTTTCAGTTTAGTTTAGCTGCAACACCACATTGCCCAACAGTCTGATGACTGTTTTCGAACTTGTAGCTTCAGCTTAGCTTTATACAACTATACCAAGGAATTGTACCACATATGGTAGAAGGTTTTTTTTTTTTTTTAAAAAAAAAATCATTTAAACTAAATTTGTGCATCAGGCAGAAAAACGTGTTAGCTACAGACTGGAAGCATGAGAAAGAACACCACATGCAAGACTGAAAAGGAAAGAAAGTGAACTACCGCCACTACTAACACCATACTCCTCTTCACAAAGGACTGGATATTGACCACACACCAAAACATCCAATAGTACAAAAAATGGCTCTTGACCTTTAAGTGTCTAAAAAGATGAGTATAGCAATGGAGAACACAAGAAGATACTAGAAAATCGATGTGCATAATACTTTAAACTGAATTATTAATGGGAATTGGGAATAATTTAACAATTTGAATGAAAAGTGCTATGAAAATGATAGCTGATTGTTTTATTTTGATTAGACTGTTAAAACATTACTTAGACTATCAATAAATTCCCGAGCGTGCATAAGAGATATGGACCATTTTCACTGATAAGAATATTTTGAGAGTGATAAAATTTGATTCAGGGAGACATGTAAAGCTTCTCATTAGTTTTTACAGGTTTATATATATGTCTTGCACAGACTGAAAATGAGTGTGACTGGTCTTTAAACTCAGCAGAAACAAATATTTTTGTGTCTCTGATTGCCTGGGAGGACATACTAGATATAAGTATATTTATGCCATCTTGTTCAGGAATCTGTCTTAGTTTTTTTGAAGTCACTTCTGAAGTATATAATATGGGATTTATTCCCATGTTGCACATCCAGGTACAACCCCCAGTTGTTTATACACTGGCATTGGAATGCAGAACTCTTTTTCTGCAACTGTTTGGGGGTTTTTTGTTTGTGGGTTTGTTTTGTTTTGTTTTGTGTTTTTGTTTTGTTTTTGTTTTTTCCCTTGAAGAAAGACCAGGTGGATGATATGGAGGCAATTGTTATGTTCTCTAGGAGCCCTCTACTCTGAGTGATCAAATCAGACTTCGTTACAGAGCTTTGATGCTCTGAGTCATGCTCAAGTAGCATGTATTTCTCTGCAGCGATTAAATAGAGAGCATGCGCTCCTAACTTAGAAGTGAAACAACATGCCTAGAGATATTTATGCAAAATTTTTTTCCGTTTTTCTATTCTGTTGACAGTAATGTTATGAAAGTTGTTAGGCTAACAAAACAGAAAGGATAATCCATGGAAAAATGTCTAAATCTATTTAAGGTTAAAGTTACAGAAAAGGGATAAAATAACTTAGAAGTGAAATATGCCAACATTTCTGAATTGCTTGAAAGAGTAAGAATTTTTAGAGGTATTCTGGGATAAAGTTAAAAAAATGAGAGTAGAGAAAATAACGGTGAGCACTTTTAAAATCAATTAAATTTAATGAGGCATATTAATCCAGTAATTCAATATAACAATGTGTGCTGACATAGTGTCCCAATCCAATATCGGGGAGGGTTCTTAAATGATCCCAAGAGTGAGACTAAGGTACTGTCCTGATC